GATATAACAAAGAAAATAGATAATCACATTACGAATATTGAAATCATCGTGAGCTAATTCATCTTGGATTTTTTTTTAAACTTTTGATTGGTGCCTTTTGATTTTTTTCAAAAATGCAGTAGACCAAGCTAACCCAAAACTAATGAGATCTTTTGGCACATATTGAGAATTGGCCCATCCCATTTAATGTTTTTTTTTATTTAAGTCACATTTTCAGGTTTTCAACTAAGATATCTTTTCAGTTCATTTTACCTTTTCGCTTTTTTTTTTTAGCATAGTACTTCTTTACTGCATCAATATTGACTGAATTTGGTAAATCATCCCCATCCATTCTTGCTAAGATTAGTGCCTTATCAGAGAAGGCACATTTTTTAGTTAGATAACTCCTTATGTTCTGTCTCAGTGGCTTAGGCCATCTAAGAGTGGGATTTTTTTTAATTTGCATCAAAATCCTCTCACACGAGGTATTCAGTGTAATGTAACTTTTTTCCCCACTAGGGTTTCTAGCTTTATGTGGTCTTTCTCTTGGAGGAGGATCATAGAAATCTTTACCTTTCTTATCACCAAAAAGGGGGGATGAACCTCTCTCACCTTGATCTTCGAGGAGGAGAGATGAGCCTCTTTCATCTTGGTTAGTTTTCATTGTAATTTTAGTATTAATGTATTTCTCCACTATCAGTAAGACATAGACCAAAGTTTTAGGTGGTTCTAACGACAATTTTAGTTTTAGGTAGTACTTTTTATTGTTGAGTCCACTTGTTAAGGTTGCAATAGTGGCTGTCTGTTCTAGGTCTTTAACCTATAAATCTTCCATGTTAAAACGCATGACATAGCTTTTCAAAGTTTCATTCCATCCTTGGTGGATTGACATCAAGCTTAAAGTCATCTTCTTTGCTTTTCAGCTACTCACAAATCTAGATAGAAATAAGTGATTGAGCTTCTTGAACATAGTAATTGACCTTGGCTCCAAGCTACTATACCAGGATCAAGCTGTGCCCTTTAATTTAGTGGCTAGACCTTTATACATTAGAGCCTCGTTTGCCTTCTACATCATCATGTTAGTTCTATAGAGTTCTAAATGATCAAAGGGGTAGAAGTGCCATTGTATGTTTCCAAGATTGGTATTTTAAATCTTTTGGGAGGTATGGCTCTGTCAATTTCTTTAATAAAAGGCAATGTCTGCAAGAGCTTAGCTCATCCTCGAATGCCACTATTTTCGTTTTCAATTCTTTTTCCATGGCTTGCATCCGAGCTTCCAAATCTCTATTCGATTGAAATTCATGGTTTATTTGTTTAGATTTTTAGGTTGTGGCATGTGTTAAATTGTGGCTGGGGTAGTGGTGAGTCGGGTTTATGTATTCTTCTTTTTTGGAGGCCGAAAAGGCCTCCGCCTCTTTGTAGCTCGGTTGTCCGATAATGACTTCTTGGCTAAGTGTAATAAAGTCCTACACTTTCGAAACTTGGGATAGGGTTATAATTTGTAGCATCTGCTTGAGAACCAATATTTGTTCTGTTAGAACTTAAAATTGTTCCATGGTTGGGCCTACCTATAGTTAGGCTAGGCAGACAAAATGCTGGTTAAGGTGAGTTTTTGTTCCAGTCGGGGCAGTTACCTCTCCTTCCTCTAGGATTCTCTTCCTTAGTGGCAATGTTTTATGCTCATCTAACATAAAGGAGTTCTCCTACTTGGCATGCCAAATGTTGGTGTTGAGCTCCGACCTAGGGGTATTCCTAAAAATGCAAAAAAGAAGGACGGTTAGAAGCAAAGGTAGGGTTTATTGCCTGTGTTTGCACTCCGATGTGCAAATTAATAAGAATTAGGTCAACAAGAAAGTAGGAAGAAAAAAAAGAGGTGAATGGAATGAACCTACCTTAGCAGTGCCTGGATTTTTATATTTATAGGTAAGCTATGGGGAACTATGAGGAGACAATAAAGACAGACTGAATTAAGGTGGTACTGATAATGTTAGAACGACATGAGATGTCAGGTTAGCACAAATGACATAGATACATCTAGTTGTCTGTTGAAGACTTTGAGAGAGAAAAAATCCATTATACCCTTTTGGCTGTCAAATGACCCTAACAAAATTCCAACTAATGACTGAAGATTCTCCCGATTCAAGTCAATCTGCTACACAGAATCCCCACAAGCAGAGGTGCCTATTTATGCCAACAGCCAAAAATTGTCAATTGTCAGTGTCTTCAAGGCCATGACTGGCACAACACTTTTGAGTTATGAAAGCTATGGTAACAAGTCTGCTCAAGTTTTCACCACCAACCCAACGGTTATAGGACAAGCATGTGTCAGTACCCATATTGATCATTCAATGTAGTTCTCCCATCACCAGATTGCCCTGCAAGGAACATGAAAAAATTGTAATAAAATCAGTGATAATCCAATGAATGAAATCCAGTCCATTCAGCAGTACGCATTACAGATGCTACAGTTATACCCAAATTTCAGGTTCAGTTGACACTAAGCAATAATTAAAGGAGTACCTTCAGGAGGAACCCATGATTCATATTCTGGATCAAGATTGCTATTATGGAATGAAGGCTTCTCAGGTCCAAGCACTCGTTTTTTGTTTTCTCTTTCTTCTTAGATTGATTTCTGGCCAATATTTCAGGGGTTTCATACAATTCCTCATGCTTTGCATGGTACCCTCAAGTGTGCTTCAGTAACAGTGCCACAGCATTCAGTGCCGATTTCTTCAGCTCCTGTAGAGGATACTGTAGATTGGTCAGAGGATTTGTCATCACTTTCAGGGTTCTGAACCTGCTTCTGTTTCCTTATAATAAGACCCGAGGCAGTAGTTTCAATTCCTGAGTGCCCTTTAACCTGTTGATCATCAACACTCCCAAGAACTTTCTTCCTATCTTTGTAATCAACAAATTCGTCAACTTTATGTGTATCTACTTCTACTACTTGCTGTGACTCTTTAATCTCCTTGTTCTCAACTGCAGAAAGCCGCTGGGCCTTTGCAACAGTATAGATTGCCTTTTTACCCTCAGCTGTATCATTAATAATATTCTCTTCTGGTTTCTCGATTGATTTCATAAAGACATCTGCAACTCCCTCTTTCTGCGTGGAAGAATTTGCTGGTTCTGTAGATGTACTGATTTTTTTGGGTTCCTTTGGAGGCTGCTTCTTTACAGCAGCAGCAGGAGCTCTAGATTTGTGAGGTCCTGGTGCTGGTGTTTGTGCCTTTGTATCACTTTTCTTAGCAGCTTCTCCTGTTGGATCAGCAATCTTCGACAGGCAGAAGATCCGGTCCAACTCCGACTGAAGGGCAGACGGTTCCTTCTCAAGTTGCACTGTCCGATCAAGCACGGACAAAGAAAGATAGGAAATCAGACACTTTTGCTACTTGCATTTCAGTATTTACTTTTTGCGTTTTTAGATGGTGAGAAAGTAAACACAATAGAAAAATAGATGACCATATTTAAAAATGAGAAAATAGCTTAAATGTAACAAATATCCACACACAGTGGCTGTATAGCATAGAGAAGTAAATATTGAAATTCTTCATTTTTATCATGCCTAAAACTCAAATGCTTATTTATTAATTATTGAAAAATATTTTTGCATTTGTAAGCTAAGGCTACTTTTTGTGTTTTGCGTTCAAAGGAAAAAGTAAGTAGCAAAAGGTTGCAACTAAAAGAACCTAAGAAAAAGAAAAGAAAGAAATATAGGAATACATATAAAAGCTAATGTTAACAAACTGGGAAGAAACTTGAAGAAAAACCAGAGTACCATAATATAGTAAAACAAGTAGTCTATGATTTGGAAATCAGCAATGAGTTAAATGTTTGGGACATCAGCACTCTACATCTTTTATTTGCAGAACTTTTGGGAATATATTTTTTTAATATAAAAATGTCTCACCTAGCTGGGACGAAAGCCCAGACATGTAAGCATCAAGTGCATCTCCAGCTTCACTTTCTATTGCAGTTTCTGATGCCATTTTATCTTCTCAGTCAACAGCAACTCTTTCTCGCCTTCAATTTCTTTCATAATGGCATCTCTCTTATCAAGAAGACTATCAGCAGTTTCAATTGACTGGGTTTCACCAATTTTCTACACGGTAGGTTTCTTCTTTGTCCGGTCGTAGAATTCATCATCATCACTGAAGATTCACAAATCATTATGCGCATTAACTATTAATCTGGTTTCATAAGACAACTAAAAATAAACCAGATGCATATCCATACCATATACTTATAAAATAGAATGATGAGAGAGTGATCAGAAATAAAATGTGAAAGAAAAGCATAAAGGAAAATTTGCTAGATTCTAAGTTGAAAACATTTCCTCTTCTTTTGTTTTATTTTTTTTTTTTCTAAATTACCAATATTTAAAAGTGATGACAAACTGAATCTAAGGGTGACTTACCAAAGCTTTGGAACTGAATTGCGTGGACTTTAAATAAGATCAGAAAGCAAGATATGTTTAAGAACTGGCACTTCCTCAAAAGAAACGAAAGCATTTCAGTCTTTCAGGCTCTGGTTCTTCCTCCTCATCAGAGCTAAATCTACTTTTGTGCCTAGTTCTCATTGTAGTCGTAGGGTCATCAAGGCCTTCCTCATCATTAGCATTTTTTTCCATCATTGATCCTTCGAAATCTCTTTCTTTGACATCACATTTCAAGGAAAGCCAACTTGGATCAATTGCAAAGCTAAAACTACTTTTGTCCTAGTTCTCGTTGTAGTCGCAGGGTCATCAGGGCCTTCCTCATCATTACATTCTTTCCATCCTTGATCCTTCGAAATCTCTTTTTTTGACATCACATTTCAAGGAGAGCCAATTTGGATCAATTGCAGATTTAGGTTCCATCATGGCAGCACCACATCTGTTCTCTTCGTCTTTAGTGAATGATAAAGTAGCATGACAACTTGATTCCAAAATCTCAATGGTTGGATCCACTGCCTCTTCACCCTCAGAACTGTAATTTGTGCTAGATTCATCAACACTGTAAGGATCCATCATGGAAGCACCACATCTGTTCTCTTCATCTTTGGTGAATAATTATGTAGCATGACAACTTGATTCCAATATCTCAATGGTTTGGATCCACTGCCTCTTCACCATCAGAACTGTAATTTGCGCTAGATTCATCAACACTGTAATTTGTGCTGGATTCATCAGCACTTTAACTTGTGCTGGATTCATCAGCACTGTAACTTGTGCTGGATTCAAACTCTTCGTCATTAGATCTAACAGTATCCATATATAATACATTAACACCACATTTTGCACTTTGAAATGCTTAATATTGGAAACCAAATCCGTAGCTTCAACGTAGATTTCAATGGAGGCCACCTCAAAATGCTTGTTTATGGATGTTTTATTGATTCCACGTCCGAAACCATCAAATAAAAAGGATCACATGATTGGAATCAAAGCTTATGTCTCGATGCAAAGGGTTTATTGAATTCCAGCGATAAGCAAAATCGTGATGATCACCACACTTGGTTTTTAATTGACATTTGCAATTGACACTGATATCGAAGAATTCAAGATGGTGCTCAAAATCAACCACAAAGCATAGAATAAAGCCCAAGAATCTTTTATTAGAACAATCTGGAACCAACTTGACAGTTATTGAAGAATTTGTACTCCGATTCTTGAATGTCTCTGAAATTTCACTTCCAGGTAAACAAGAAAAGAAACTTTTATCATAAAAATGATCAGTACCTTCAGAAGATTCCATCGCAAATACCTGTGCCATATATTGAGCTTTAAGCTGTGCATTAGCCATAATGTTGTTGATTGCACCCGGTCCAGATTGAAGCAATTATTGAATACAAAGCAATGGCCATACATAAAATAATACTCGAACAAAGATTTCTTAGCTTTCATATATCGCAAATGTTCCAACTTGGAAACTGTCACTAAAGAGCACAGTTTCCTGCATCTAAAACTTCTAAATGTGGTGGAAGTCTGGCAATGATTTGAGTCTCTTGCAGTATCTAAAACGTAGATGAATTAATTTAGGAAGTTGTTTGATACTCTTAGGAATTTCCACGATATCTGATCCAGATAGATCCAAGGCTTCCAAAAATATCAACCCAAATATATTCGAGCAACGTAACGCTTTTACGGTTGTTTCCATTGTCTCTAATTTCTGGGAAACACTCCAAGTTTTAACAGCCATTGAGATTAAGTAGTTCAAGAGATTTTAACTTACAAATGCTGGTTAGAAGGCTTTTAAGCGTTGTGCAGCCTTTCATTCTCCAAACGGAAAGCCTTGTAAGCCTTGAGATTGATGAAGGCACTTCTTCCATTGGAGTGTTATCCAGATGTAAGCATTTTATGTTCTTCAGAACAACCGGCAATATTTGTGATGTTTGGGCAATCACAGAGGGAGATTTGTTCAAGGGCATGCAACTGAATAATAGTGCTTGGAAGATCATGAATTCGGCTATCACTCACATCCAAATCAGCAAGTTGATTGAGAAATCCGATTGATGAGGGTATTTCTTCTATTTGATTCTTGCACGACAGCAATCTTTCTAAGTTTCTGGGAACTTCTGGGAATAGGTCGATGGAGCAACCTTCGAGATGGAAAATTTTAAGAGATTTCAACTTAAAGATATTCTTTGAAACAGTTTTAATCCTTGAGGGGAACAAGCCTTACTCCATAAGTTGGTGGAAGCACCCGATTGAGTCGGGAATTTCTTCCATCGCAGTGTTTCTGAATCTCAAATTTTGAATATGCTGTGGAAGCTCAGGAAATTTCTTCAAATTTGTTAAACCCTCAAATAATAGGTAAACGTTAAGAGATATCAAATGAATCATGGATAGGAGTTCAACCATGCTTTCGCATCCATTGATTTTCTGTTGTTCAATATTTATGGCCGCTGACAAATTTGGGATGCTGGTTAAATTCTCGCAATAAGAAAGGTCAAGCACGCTTAAATTCGCAAGATTCTGTGCAATGAAGGCGAAGAAACAATATGAGATTGGTTTAAACTTTAAAGCCTCTGAACTTAAAATTGAAAAATGTGTTGGGGTTCCGTTTAGTGGGGTACAGAGTGACAAAAGAAAGACAAGCAACGCGGAATGGTAGAATAAAGGAGTAAAGCAAATTGTAAAGTGACAAAAGAAGAGGCAGGAGTCATGGTGCCTCGAAACCAGAAGGAGCTTCAAAAAGTGACTTAAGATTGCCTCAAAATCTTAGTCCAGATACAAGTATGAAGAAAACGATCAATAAAACTTCGGTGGTATCACGGCCTTTTCTAATATCAGCCATTCCCTTGACTCTCTGTTTTGTAATCTGCTTTCCTTCGAACAATCACTTGCATCTTCATTCCCTTCGTGGCAGCAAATTGAGAAAGTTAAAGCTAACCTCCAGGCTGTGACCAACTTTACAAATTTGTTCACAAGGTCTGCGATCAGGTATTAAAACTCTAGAGAATAATATAATATGAACAAACACAGTTTCTTCCAGTACTTGCAGGAAATGCCGAATCAAATTGTTTGGTTTTCCGTCCTCGCTACGCAATCGGTTAGTAGAATGGTGGACTCTTATTCCATTAACTTAGTTCAATCCCGAACAACCTTAATTATAAAAAGAAAAAAAGTTGTTGGTTTTCCTACTACAAATGTTAAACCAAGGATCTCCTCTATTAGTAATGGATATATTCACACTTTACCCGACTTTTTTTTCATTATACATTTCATTGTTTCAACTCCTTTTTGTAACTGTCTTTTCCATGGGTGAATGGCGAAAGACATAATGGATGTAAACAAGATATAGGCACCGCAAGTCGTTTCCTCGATACTAAACATGCTGCATTAGTTGGCTTTCTTTTCTTATTTTAGTTTAACTCTTCCTATTCTTAATGTTCGTGTTTGTTTTTCTTTCTACCACATAAAAGTTAAACGAAACAACATAAACTTCCAGTATTGCATAATTATAGAAGCAAAATATTGGACCATCCGGCAATAGCACCCCGCAGCAGGGTATGTCAATTCTCTCTACCTTGATGACATCAAAACAGATATCAAGTCATATTCATGTTAAACTCTGTCATTTAGGAAAAGGTAGGCATTCTAATGTGACAAAACCAAATTGTATTTGTCACAACCTCGACTTTAAATCCAAAAGAAAAATATTTGCTGAGAACTTTTTCTGCTGGTGACAAACAAGATAATGGAAACACCCATATTTTCAAGTTCAACAGTATCAGATCAGACCATTCTTTTGCCTTCCCAAGTGGTTTTAGTGGGTATCAACTAATTAACACCTATATCAAGATAAAGCAAAACCAATCTCACACAAGTACGTAAATAAACGTTTAAGGAGGATCAATTGAAGGTTTACCTGGCTGACGTGAATGCAGTAATCAAACTTCATCATAGAAATCAGAAATCAACTAGTACCTAGGAAATACGGGAAAACATCAATTAACAACATAACACCAACAAAACCGAAAATTTTACACAATTTATTTTACTTTCAGGGAAAATATAAAATAGAAACTAATGGATTAAGAGAACTAACATCTCCTGGAAATCAACCTTGGTCTCGTTAATTAGATGCATAAAGCAGAAATTTGATAAATAGAAATGAAAAAGCTTCATTCTTTTTCGCTCTTGTTCAACCTCATCATCAAAACAGAAACTTTCACTGCTCTAAGGTATTCTTGTGATAGTGGGATTATCATGGCCATTGTCAAAATTGACACCTTCTTGATGTATTAATCTGCCAAAATTTAGATTCCTAAAACTTCCTTTTATTGAGAGCCAATTTGAATGAATTGGAGAGTTTGGCTGGCATTTTATCATTTTAGGATTGCATCTGTCCTCATCATCTTGAGTACATGGCAGGCAAGCAGAAATTCCATAACTTGTTTCCAAAAACTGAAGAGGTGGTTTCCCCTCCTCTTCACTAGAGCGGAAATTTTTGTTGGATTCAACATTGCAGTCAGCATAACACTCAGCATCCACATAAAATACATGTACACCACATTTCTCCACCTTGATATTGTGATCTACACGCCTTCCATCATCTTTAGCTCTGATGTAGAATTCAAACGAGGCCTCCTCATAGTGCTTGTCTTTTTGAAACATATTCTTGTCAAACCAAATGATCATGTTATTGGACTCAAAAAAATATGGGCTTATCACAATACATAGGTGAAGTCCATCTACTTCTAAAATTATGACAATCACCGCATTTGGTTTTTAGCTAAATTTCGCAAACAATTCGAACACCAATGTCTTCGTAATTGATCTAGAAATCAACCACAACAGATGGAACAAAACACAAGAATCTCTCACTTTGCCAATCTGGACACAGCTTGATAGTTATTGAAGAATCCATGCTTCGGTACTCAAATCTTTCTGAAATTTCACTACAGGCAACAACTCTATCAAGAATATTATCGGGTACTATTTCATGAAATCCCCTCGACCTTTCTTTCACCCATTCCTCTACCATGCCCCGGAGTCTAAGATGTGCATTGGCCACTATTTTGTCAACTACACCTTGATCCAAATCAAAGCAATTACTGAATAACATGTGTACTAGGCAAGAATTCTCCCAAAACCGTCTTCTGCCCAACACCAGTTCTAATGAAGTACAGTCATGTGCATTTAGGTTTCGTAGACGTGGTGGAAGCTCAGGCAATATTATATTATAAGGTTCTTGCAACATTTTAAGTAAAAGAGAAATTAGATTGGGAAGTTGTTGCATGCTTATGGGAGTTTTCACTATATTTGACCCACTCAGATCTAGAGTCGTCAAAACATCAAATTTGCTAAAGCTACCGCTAAGGATGACACCCAGAAGATTCAAGTTTCTACTGTACCTCACACGAATTATGTGGTCATTCAAGATGGGTGTGACTTTTATATTTAATCTTTTCGAACAAGCAAGCTTTGTTAGACATTGCATAGTCTCCACGATTGCTGGGAAAGTATCTAAATTTGAACAGCCTAGGCGACTAAGTTGTCGAAGACATTTCAGCTTGCAAATACATGTTGGAAAGCTTTTAATCCTTGTACAGTCATTCACACTCAACATGGACAGGCTTTCAAGCCTAGCAATTGATGAGGGCACTTCTTCTATTGCTGTGTCGTGCGGTAATAAGATTTCTTTGTTGCTCGAAACATTTGGAAACTGGGTGATGTTTGGGCAATGACGGAGATGGATTGCTTTTAGGAAATCCATATTTACATGGATGATTTTCAATTCTTGTGCCACTCATATCTAAAAAAACAAATTCTCTGAGACAACCGATTGATGAAGGCACCTCTTCGATTTGAATATTGCTCAAAATTAAGTCTTTTATGTTCTCTGAAACATTTGGAAAACGAGTGATGTTTGGGCAATGAGAGAGACAGATTTTTCTAAAAGGGAATTCATCTTAACAACAGTACTAGGAAGATTTTTAATTCGTGTGTAGCTCATTGGTAAAGAAGCAAGTTCTCTGAGACACTCAATTGATGAAGGCACTTCTTCTATTTCAGTCCCACTCAAGTTTAATGTCTTTAAGGTTCTAGGAATTCTGGAAATATTGTGATTGGGCAGTCACTAAGACAGAGATTTCAAGAAATTTCAAATGAACAATGCATTGAAGCTCAACCGAGCTTATGCACCCACCAACCTCCAATTCTTCAATGTTTATGGATCTTGACAGATCTGGGATCTTTGTTAAATTCTTGCAATTTCGGAGGTCAATCACTCTTAAATTCACAAAATTCTGTAGGATGAAAATAAAAACTAACTACATTAATTTCAAGTCTGTAATTAAATTTAGAGTTTTATTCAAAATGGAAAAAAAAAAAAAAAAGGAAACGAAATATGTTTTCTTTTTGGATGAGCACATTATTAGAGTATATATGCCTGATCTTTAGGCCAAAGTTAGTTACTATTCGGTAATCTTAATTCCACAAGCTTCTCTGGACTAAAATTTGATGGCAAAGATTTCAATGGGCAATACTCCTACAGAAAATAACTGAGCTCACCTAGAAGAGATTTAAGATCCTGCTATGAAAGCAGTGATTTACCTTAAAAATAGTTTCGGGGAAGACACAGAAGAACTTAAAAGTAGTTAAAATTCATGATGAACCGTAATGAGTAAGACCCAGAAAGGACAGGTTTGTCGAGAACTCGTAGTGCCTTGAAGTCTCAGTTCAAGCACAGGCATAAAGCAAAGAATCTCAAAGAAAAATTGAAGCTCTGTAAAGGCTTGGTCATCCCTCCTATTACTGCAAAAACTTAAATTTCATCCTGGTTTCATTTGAGTAGAAGGGTCACCATGGTCTTTTCCAATAATCAGCTATCTCATTCAATCATTGATTCACCAACATCGGGAAAATGGCATCCTCATTGTCCTTGCTTCTAATTTCTAAATGGCTGCTCCTTTTCGGACCTCATCGGGGCTAAAACTTCCATTGCAGTCATTATATACTGATGTTCACGATTGTCTTTCTCAGTGCAAGCATCTTTGAAAAAAAGCAATGACGAACTCAGCTTCAAGGTGAGCCTAGTCGAATTGCGAGGAAAGCTGGGCTGGATCTTGTTAGGATTGCATTTGATCTCTTTACCTCTGCTTTAGCTGCATAGCAAGATGCAATAAAACAACATCGTATATTATCTTTAATTGAAAAATGCTCATTCAGTGTTGGTCGAAAATGGGCACCAATGCAAGTGAAACCATTAACTAATGTAATGAAAATCTGCTTAAACAATTTCTACTCAACATAGTTGTAGTTTGTAAAATAAAAATACTAGTAATTCAATATGCAGAATCACTTGCAATGAAAATTCTGACATCAGATGCTAGTTAGCCATCTGAGTTTGATTAGGTTCTCGTAACAATTTATACTCGCAAAATGCTAATTATCAATTTAATAATTATATAACTACTATTCTTAGAAAATGAAGATGCTGTAACAAAGGCTGGTAATTTCCTAAGTGGAGTCAGCATAAGAAGTACTAAATCTCTATGCCATCAGATCACATTATTTTAAACGTAGCTAGTTAAGAATGTAGTAAGTACTCAAGCTCTCATTGTTTGATTTATAAATATCCATTGCAATAATGAGAGTCTACCTCAAATCATCAGCTTTGGTATGCAGGTCCTTGCCCTTTGAATCATCACTGCCCCTGAAAATCCTCTTTACACAGTCAAGCTCCTTTGTTAGTGTTTCCGGACCCCCAGTCCTTTGCACAGCATAAAAACACATCCTTAATAAACCCAAGCGTTGCTGAAGCATGACCACATCCCATGAAGTGAAATTGCATTCCTGTCGTACCAGATGGCCCCTTTAGCTATGACTTGGCTTGACAAGATTCCTCTGCATACCACAAGCGGCATAGTACCAATAGGAACAACCAACCCAACTGCTAGTATTGTTAGCACAATTAAAATTCAGTGCATTTTCCATATTTAATTAAACCAACTACATTAGAATTAGTTTCAGTCTGCATTTGCCATATCCAACTAAACCTAGTCCAAACAGTTGGCCACCTTCAACAAGGCATCAAATTAATGTGCTTACACAATCAAGTAATGTGTGGCCTTAAAAGTAGCCCAAACCGTAGAATTCACTTAGCATCCTAACTAGAGATGGTAGCAGCTCATTAATGCCAGTGAATAGCAAAATTATTCCTTAAATTCTGAATGCAGACCTTAAATTGTGGGTAAAATTATTAGATTATCTGCTCTCTTTTACCTTTTGGAATTTGAAATGACAACTTTCTATTATGTATTGCAAGCAGGAAAATATGAAAGATAGCACATTTGCCCTAAATAGCCAAAGTCTTCAAAAACTAACCTTCCACCAAAAAGCTTCGCTAGCAAACCCCTGGCAATTGACTCAAGCATGTCCCCAAAAGAATGGTGGTTGCACTAATCCATTTACTGATGAATTCCACCCAAACTGATGTGACATAGGAATTATAGCAACACTCAAGTTCACCGACCCCATTTAACAAGCTTAACAAAATTAGTTCAACCTAAATATAAAACCCAAGTCCACACAAGTGATTGCTGTTTCTACTAGATGAACCCAAAAATCTATAATTCAAAACTATAAACCCCAAAAACTATAATTGAAAACTATGATGGAATTAAGCATATAGATGAAGAGTTTGGGAATTTAATTTCAAGACAATAACAAATCCCCAAAAGAAAAAGAGAGATAAAGCACATAAATGAAGAACCCACCTAAATTTTTCCCTTTCATACTTGCCACTGGTATTTGATTGAAGGAGAGTTAAAGCATCGAAGCAGAGAAAGTGTAATCACTTGTATTTTGTATGTAAAAGGAAAAACAAAAAAAAAAAAATGACAGCATGAATATCCCATTTAGGTAAATAAGTTTCAAACTTTCCTTAAAGATGTTAAAATAACCTTCTATTGGAAAAAAAAAAAAATTCTAGTTTCCTTTTTTTTTGTTTCCTTTTTGTTTTTATTTTCCCCAATTCTCAATAATGGTGCAGGTGTGATCTACTTTTTCTACTGTGAGATGATAACGACAAAGTTCTGACTATCAGATGATATAAACTTGCAACATCACTGATGTAGCTTTAAGAAAGCATTGAAATTGATTACGATTCAAGACCGCAAGATAGTTAAAGATTTCATGTTATGCTTCATATAATTTTTCTGAAAAGAAAAAGGTGAACTTGCACTTTCGACTAGTTATAGAAGCTCATTTACCTTGATGATCTGCAACTGCAGAGGCAGCAGCAATAGCATGTAGCAAGTAGCAAAGGGATGCAAATCTCTAGCTTCATAACATCATATTGAAGTCAAACTCTGTAATTGAGCTTGAAAAGGTAGCACATAATTAATTTGAGGGAAAAAAATTACATTTGTCACAACCTAGACTTGAAAACCCAATATTTCTCTGAAAATCCTTTCTATTGGTGACAAAGAGACACTTGAAACATTCATAATCTGCAGGTTCAAAAATGTCACATCAAGTTAAGGCTGAATTTTCATGAAAGTTCCCGAAAATGCGCAAAATACTATCGTAATTCTAAAATGCATAATGAACATAGGAAAAAATAGAACCTTTTATGGGAGAGGGGACCTTGCTTTCACATTCCAACTGCTCCTAGGTATCCTAAGAAAAGCATCAACTGAAACCTAGATCAAGAAAATGCACAGGTTATAAACAAAAGCAATTTCGCACACAAGTGGTTCAGATAAATAGTTTGGGAAGGTGCATGCAAATTAGAAATCAACTACTATCTAAAAAGAAAGTTAGGTAATAATAAAACAAAACACCACAATATTTGCATACTTTACATTTACTTTAAGAGCCAAAACGAAATTTTTAAAAAAATTGAAAAGTAGGGAAATTTCAGAAAAGAAAAACAAAATTATCTCTCAATCAGAGGAGAAAAATACAATAGTGAGTTGAGAAAATGAAAGGAGAAAATAGAATGATGAGAGAGTGGTCGGAAACAAAATGTGAAAGAAAAGCATGAAGGAAAATTTGAAAGATTCAAAGTTGAAAGCATTTTGTATTCTTTTTTTTTTTTTTTTCTAAATTACCAAGATTTAAAAGTGATGACAAATTGAATCTCAGGATGACTTACCAAAAGCTTTGGAACTGAATTGCCTGGGCTTTAAATAATATCAGAAATTTGCGAACTTGCACCTCCTCAAAAGAAACGAAACTATTTCAGTCTTTTAGGCTCTGGTTCTTCCACTTCATCAGAGCTAAAACATCGTCTGTGCCTAGGTCTTATCGTAGTCGTAGGATCATCAAGGCCTTCCTCATCATTAGCTCTGTAATTTGTGCTGGACGCAACCTCTTTGTCATTGGATCTGACAGCATCCTCATATAATACATTGACACCACATTTTTGCACTATGATATGCTCAACATTGGAATCAAAATCGCAAGCTGTAACGTAGAATTCAATGGAGGCCTCATCAAAATGGTTGTTTATGGATTCATTGATTTCCCTTCCAAAACCACTACCAAAAAGGATCACATGATTCGAATCAAAGCTTATACAGAAAGGGGCATTCCAATTCCAATGATGAGTAAGTTCGAGAGGATCACGGTCAAGGCGGTCAAGGCGCTCGGTTGTTAATAGATATTGGCACCTACCGCCGCAGACTTTGAATTTATGAGGGCCCTTAAAATTAACCACAATGCATAGAAGAAAGCCCAAAAATCTTTTACTAGAACAAGCTGGACCCAACTTGACAGTTATTGAAGAATTTTTACTCCGATTCTTGAATGTCTTTGGAATTTTACTTCCAGGGAAACAAGAAAGGAAACCATTACTATAACGAGGAAAATTATAAGCAGCAACTTCAGAAGATTTCATCGCAAACACCTGTGCCGTACATTGAGCTATAAGCTGTACATTAGCCACAATGTTGTTGACTGCATCCCCGTCCAGATTGAAGCAATTATTGAATAGAAATTCACTGTTCCCAATTTGATGAGATAATAAAAATGTCCCAGCTTCCATAAAATGCGCATGTTCCCACTGGGGAACTCTCTTTAAAGATCTGCAGTTTCCTGCTACTAAAAAATGTAAACATGGTGGAAGTTCTGGCAATGATTCGAGGTTCCCACAATTAGATAAATATAGATACTGTAAATTAGAAAGTTGTTTGATACTCTTAGGAATTTCCACTATATCTGATCCAGATAGATCCAATCCTTCCAAAGGGACAAACCGAAATATAGTCGAGGATAACTCTGTTATGGCTGTTTTACTTAAACCAAGATATTTTAGACGCTTAGTCTCTAATATTTCTGGGAAACACTCTAAGTTTGAACAGCCACGGAGATCTAGGAATACAAGAGATTTTAACTTACAAATGCTGGTTGGAAGGCTTTTAAGCCTTGTGCAGCCATACATGACGAAAGAAGCAAGGTTTTTAAGCCTTGAGATTGATGAAGGCACTTCTTTTATTGGAGTGTAACCCAAAACTAAGTGTTCTATGTTCTCCGGAACAATCGGAAAATTTGTGATGTTTCGGCAACTTTGGAGACTGATTTTTCTAAGGGCATGCAACTGAATAGTAGTGCTTGGAAGATTATGAATTCGGCCACCACTCATATTCAAACGAACAAGTTGATGGAGAAACCCGATTGACTCCGGAATTTCTTCTATTGCAGTGCATGTTAAAGTCAACTCTTCGATATGCTGTGGGAGCTCAGGAAATTTCTTCAAATTTTTTAAACCATAACCGAGTAGTCTAAAGCGAAGAGATTTCAAATGAACCATAGATGGGAGTTCAACCAAGCTTTTACACCCACTAATTTTCAGTTGTTCAATATTTTTGGATGCTGACAAACTTGGGATCCTGATTAAATTCTTGCAATGTGACAGATCAAGCACTCTTAAATTCTCAAGATTCTGTGCAATGAAAGCGAAGAAACAATATGAGATTAGTTTAAACTTTAAAGCCTCAAAACTTATAGGGTACTACAAAAATAAAAATTAAAAACAATAAATATTATTTTTTTATGAAAATAAAATGTTAAAGAATACCTGGTCTCCATTCCAAAGTTGTTCAAAATTGCGACCACTTAATCTTAATTCAACAAGATTCTTCGGACTAAAATTTGACGGTATAGATTTCAGCATGCAATTCTCCCAATGAAAATACCTTAACTCATCAGGAAGAGATTCAAGACCCTGGTCTGAAGGAACCAACATACCACTCTCCCTAGATAAAGTAGGATTATAGAATTTGATAATTCTAAGATTAGGCATCCTTGCGAAAGCACGTGGATGTAACTGTACTTCATGATTAATTTGAGACAGGTCTAATAATATTCCCTCCACTGATTTCGTCCCCTATAATCAACAGCAAACAATAATTTACCGTAATGCATCAAACATTTATCAAGTCAAGATGAGCAAGAAAAAAAAAGAAAAGTTAGTTCAGTTAGCTCTTACCTTGCCATTCTTTAACATTTTACAAACATCATCTGAATTCCATAATCTACTACATTCTTCTGGCCATCGAGATTCTGAACTGATAATTATCCTACCCATCTCTTGTAGCAAATCATGCATGCCAAGGTTGTTCTCTCTTGTATCATCTAAGAGGCATTTATCAACAAGGTTGGTAATTGCCCAACCAGCAGTCCCATTATAGCAACCGTCCAGTATTTTTGTTACACTATGTATACCACACCCTTTAAAGAATATTGCGATATCAAGAAATATCTTCTTCTCTACATCTTCCAGCCCATCAAAGCTAATCTTCAGCACATCGTGAATTTTCGGATCGGAATGTTGCTTTAATTTATTCAATGCACTTTCCCAATATGCTTTGTTCTTCTCACAAACAGTAGAACCCAAGACTTTAAGAGCTAGCGGAACGCCTTTAGCATATTCCAAAAACTTATTTGATAGATCCTTATAATCATCAACAAGGCCGTTTTGGTTGAAGGCACGCAGAGAAAAAAGCTTAATGGAGTCATTGTAACCTAATCCCTTAGCCTTGTACGTTTCATCAACTGATCCATTTGTAAGGACTTGCTTGTTTCTGGATGTTATAATGATTCTACTACCAGAACCAAAGTGGTCATGGCAAATTTCTAATTTTTCTAATTGGTCCCAATCATTGACATCATCAAGGACAAGAAGAACTTTCTTACGACGGAGTCTATCCTTGATGAAAAAGGGCATTCTAGGAGTACCGATATGGAGGCCGTGCTGGTTTAATAATTGGGAAAGAAGTTGATCCCGCAGAGTGATTGCATTTGCAGCAGGTGTTTCTAACTTCTCTCTAACATCTGCCAAGAAGTAACAACTTTCAAATTGACCACGGACTTCATCATATATAGCTTGAGCAAGAGTTGTTTTGCCTATACCAGGCATTCCCCATATCCCAATAATACGAACATCCTCCCCTCCAAAGCACAACAGTGATTTGATTTGCTCCATACGAGGAAATATTCCAATGAGTCCTTCGCAATCACCTTTAGACAACCGATCCAACTTGTTTACAATATCTTTAACAATATCCTCAATGACTGAGGGCTCAGGCCTATCGAATAAGCAAAAATAAAGAAACGAGTTAAGCCTAAGGTAATGAAGATTATATGAACAAAACTTACGCTTCTTAAGGGAAATTTTTTAAAACAAAAAAATTCAAAAGAAAATTAACCAATTTAGTGCAAGAAGCTTAGAGCAAGAAAAACAAACACTTAACTTATCTCCTGCAATGGACCACCCACTTAAGCCGGCAGCTTTAGTCAAAGCGAGTCTCCACCCCTTAACCTTGTCTATCCTGTTTCTTTCATGGTCAACAAAAGCTTCTTCAAAACTCCCTTTTAGTTTTCGTATATCGGATGGGTTAACATGGTAGAAAATGGGTACCACAAGTTGTCCTCGTGAATCCCTGCATTCCATTATCTTGGAGAGTTCATCCAAGCACCATGATGAAGTAGCATACTTCTGAGAAAAAACTATTACGGAAATCATTGATTTTTCGATTGCTTCCAACAGTGCGGAAGAAATTTCCTCTCCCCTCGGAAGTTCTTTGAAATCAGCATAAGCTCCAATCCCTTTTCCTTTCAAAGCTTCATACAGGTGACTGAGGAAGGTATTGCGTGTGTCTTCACCTCTAAAACTCAGGAAAACATGATGCTTTGCTTGAGTTAAGAAAGCAGAAGCAGAGGAAGAGAAAGCCATAACAGAGAACAAGAAGGTTTTGTGATGTTGCGTCTGTAACGCAGTAGGAAAAAGAAGTGAATAATGAACGCAACTAAAAAAGACTCCAAGGCGAAAAAGAAAGAGAAGCAACGCGGAACCATCATCCGGCAAAGGAGTCTAGCAAAGGGAGAATTACAGATTGATGCAATGCAATGAGAATATTGAATAATTGTGAACACAGCAGTTAAAGTAAATCAGTTATTAATAAGTAATTGATTCAATTGATCAATATCATCATTTCTAATGAAATAATTTTGTGTTCAAATTTTATCGATAATTAAAAATATAAATAATATATTAATACTTGTAAGTTATTTAAGTTCAATTAGAATAAAATTCAAATAATTGAATCAAGTTTGAGCTCAAATAATTTGATTCAATTCATCGATCGAGTCAAGTTTGAATATTTTTATATTAGATTTAATATGCTCACAAATTTAATCAAATTTTTATATTTAAATATATTTTTATTATTTTAATTAATAAAATATCTCGAATTCAAATTCGAACTCAAACATAAATAATTAAACTTTTATCGAATATAAAAATCGAATTTATTTTTACATGTTAATCAAACTTAATCGAACAAATTTGAGTAGCTTGATTTTTATCTCAAATTAAGTTTGAACTAAAAAATAAAACTCGATCAAGTTCGAATCGAACATCGAACCTTGAATTTTGAATTAAGTTTGAATTCAAACTTAATACTGTATCGATTCAAACTCAATTAATTATATTTTTATTGATAATTATTTATTAAAATCATTTTAAATATATAATTTATAATTATTTATTTTAAATTATTAGATGTGATATACTTTACTATAACACAAAAAATTAAATAATTTATTTACTTTTGAATTTTTGTTAAAAAAAGAGAAAAAGCATTTCCCTTTTATCAATTTTTTAAGTCTGTTCCCTTTTCAATAAATTTTTTTATGTACGACAGTAAGCAAATATTCTTGGTCCACCGCAAGCAACGAGGAATGGTACATTAAAAGAGTAAAGCAAATTGAAAAATGTCTTTGGATTCCTTTTGGTGGGGTACGGAGTGACAGAAGAAAGACAAGGCAACGCGGAATTGTACGCTAAAAAAGTAAAGCAGCAAATTGTAAAATTATCATTGGATTTCGTTTGGTAGGGTACAAATGTAATATGTTAAAAATTCAATTAATCTTAAAACTTTAAAATTGCTTATATTGAGATATTAGTTATAAGTTATGAGTATAAATCATTAAAGTTATCAGGGGATAGTTTTTTTCTTAAAACCACAGATTTTTTTGTATAAATCAATGTTTTTAAATTCACAAAGTTAAGGATTAGTTTTTAAAGTATATCTATAAAAGTTAATAGATTATTAAATTATTTCACTTGTAAGATTTAAATACTCCATCATTAGTATAAAATTAATAATCTATTAATTATTTTATTTTTATTTTATTTTATAAAGAGACATGAAAAAATTAAAATAAAAAACCTTAATTTAAAAAGGTATGTTGTTTATATTCTACAAAACATTTTGTAGTTAAAACAAAAGTTATTATTGTCAAAGTGACATGTGCGTGCGAAGTGAGGTATATGGCTCATTATTTTTTAAAAAAAATTATTTTATAACACATTTTATTTTTTATAAATTAATTTTTTTAATTTATACTAAAAAATATATATTATAATTATAATTTTATTTGTTAAATTAAAAAAATCTCATACCAATGTATTTAATAATTTTTTTATTTTAATCTCTTATTAAAAAAATAAAAATCTCACTTATCATATGTCTCGAATCTATAAATAATTATTTTGTATTACGGGAAGAACTAATAAATAATCTTCCATCATGTCCTAAATTTATGCAATTAAAAATACCTATAGTATCCATTTAAAGTGATTGTTATAAATTAAAAAACTTTAAAAATTTTTATTTCAATTGAAAGGTTATGACTCAAGCTATACTTTCTTTTTTTTGCTATTTAATTTCTGTTTTTTTTTTTTAAATATTTCAGTCAATATATTTTATAAAAGAGACGTGTAAAAATTAAAATAAAAAAACCAATTTAAAAAAATATGTTACCTATATTGCACAAAACATTTTGTGATTAAAATAATGGTTATTATTATTAAGAATGATAGGTGCATGCGATAGGAGGTATCAAGGCTCATTATTTTTAGAAGAAATTATTTGATATAATAATAATGAAATTTTTTTAATTTTATAAGATTAAGATGGTAATATATTTTTATTTTTTAAATTAATTTTTAAAATTTTTAAATTTTTAAATATATATTAAAAAAAACATATGTCATTTTTTTAATTTTATTCATAAAATTAAAAAAATTTATCATTAATATATTTAATAATTTATCTATTTTTAATCTCCTGTTAAAAAGAAAAATAAAAATAGTTTCCCTTTTATCAATTTTATAACTTTCTATTTCTTGCTTCAATAAATATTTTTATGTTTGTAGGATATTCTCAATATTGTTGGCCAACTTTATCAATTTGTAATTACCCCAAAGCAAATTAAAAAATGTCTTCCGCTAGTTTGGTGGGTACCAAGTGACAAAAGAAAGAAACAACGCGGAATCGCACAACAAACGAGTAAACCAAAATGTCTTTGGATTCCATTTGGTGGGGTACAATGTGACAAATCGTCAAAAAGAATGACGAGCAACGCGGAATCCTACAATGAAGGAGTAAACCAAATTGTAAAATGTCTTTGAATTCTGTACGGTGGGGTGCCAATTTACTTTGTCGAAAATTCTACAAAGTGAACACCAATGTTTTTACATTACCAGTTAGATTCATACTACTTGAAAGGACGAAATAATTTGTTTTTTATTTTTATTTTGAGGTTTGAGTAAGGTAAGAAAAAAAAAGAGAAGTGAATTATGTGTGCGAGTTTCAATCTTGTCATTCACGAGCCCTGTGCTGTGTTTTTTTTTTATATTTTATAGATATCCGTTCTGTATGCATACTCATAAAATATTATAAATTCATACTTTTTTTTATTTAATGAACACAGAAAATCTTATTTTTAAAAAAGTAAAAAAAATATAAATTTGTTTTTTAGTTTTTTTATATTTTTCCTGTAATTTTTTATAAACATATTTTTAAATGAAAATTATTAAATAACATGATGATTTAAAACTTATAAATATGTATTTTTAAATGAAAATATATTAGATCTAATAGATTCCGAGATAATTTAGAACCTAGAATTCACCATAGGCAAAAGGCAAGATGCAGGATATGAAATTCAGTTGAGATCCAAAATACCACAAAAGAGACAAACATAAAATAAAATAAAAGAAAGAACGTAAAATATTCCAAAATGTAGATCATTATATTTAAACAAATAGTGTTTCTTGTTAAAGGACTAATAAAAAACAAGCATTCCCTGTATACAAATACAAAAACAAAGAAGCCATGAGAAATTGCATATGTGATTAATGTGTGATGATCAGCACCTTCTTGAAGATATGAAGTAAAATTATCCCAATAAACTAAAATATGGTGACCATCGATTAGATTTCCTTGGAATAAACTAAAGAAGTTCGCTCCCATGGTTAAGAAGGGTTGTTTGTGGTGAAAGGCAAAAAGAAACTCGAGCTTTTTGTGCACGCGGCTGGCAGAAGAGGGAGAAATCGAGATTGTTTATCATGACAGGGAGTTCAACTACAAATTACAAAATCCAAATTTTCTATCGGACAATGGTTGATCCATGAACACAGATAAGTTCTGCTACAATGCAACTCCGACTCCCTTGAAAGACAATGCAAACACATTAGATCTTTCTATACATTAACGTAAGAAACAGCTTTATGTTAGTTTCCCATCTCAATTTTTTTCTTCTTTTCTTTTATACGGACGGGCACATCTATTTCTGTTCATTGGTACACAATTCTTTAGAAAGAATTCCAACCAATGAGTGAAGACTAATCTTCCGATTCAAGTCAATCCGCCACACAGAATCCCAAAAGCGGAGGTGCCTATTTATGCCAACGGCATAAGCTGAATATTGTCAATTGTCAGTATCTTCAAGGCCATGACTGGCACAACACTTTGAGATATGAAAGCAATGGTGACAAGTCTGCTCTAGTTTGCAGCAGCAACCCAACGGTTTTAGGACAACCATGTGAGTCAGTATCCGTATCGATCATTCAATGTAGTTCTCCCATCACCAGATGCCCTTGCAAAGGAACATGAAAAACTTGTAATACGAAATCATCGATAGTCCAATGAATGGAACCAAGTTGAAATCCCATTCAGCAGTACCCATACAGATGCTACACTTATACCCAAATTCAGGTTCAGAAGACACTAAGCATAATTAAAGGGGAGTACCTTCAGGAGGAACCCATGATTCATTATTCTGGATCTGGATGTGATTAAGAAATGAAGGCTTCTCAGGACCAAGCACCCGTTTTTGCTTTTTCTCTTTCTTCTTAGATTGATTTCTGGCCAACATTTCAGGGTGGGTTTCATACAATTCCTCGTCCTCTGCATGGTACCCTCTAGTGTGCTTCAGTAACAGTGCCACAGCATTCTGTGCGATTTCTTCAGCTCCTGTAGAGGATAATGTAGATTGCTCAGAGGCTTTGTCATCACTTTCAGGGTTCTGAACCTGTTTCCGTTTCCTTATAATCAGACCAGAGGCAGTAGTTTCAATTCCTGAGTGCCCTTTAACCTGTGGATCATCAACACTCCCCAAGTACTTTCTTCCTATCTTTGTAATCAACAAATTCGTCAACTTTATGTGTATCTACTTCTACTACTTGATGTGACTCTTTAATCTCCTTGTTCTCAACAGCACCAAGCCACTGGGGCTTTGCAACAGTATAGATAGCCTTTTTCCCGTCAGCTGTATCACTAATAATATTCTCTTCTGGTTTCTTGATTGATTCCATAGAGACATCTACAACTCCCTCTTTCTGCATGGAAGAATTTGCTGGTTCTGTAGATGTACTGATTTTTTTGGGTTCCTTTGGAAGCTGCTTATTGACAGCAGCAGCAGGAGGTCTTGATTTGTCAGGTCCTGGTGCTGGTGCTTGTGCCTTTGTATCCCTTTTCTTAGCAGCTTCTCCTGTTGGATCAGCA